AGACTGGACAGACTCGCCAAAGATTCCTATATAGCCTCTGAAGATAGTTAATAGGAACTCATTCTATAACCAGTTTTTCTCATTATTCGAATTTCCTTCATTTTCTAGCATAATTTTTATAGGTCCTGTCACTGATTGTGAAACTATTGTCTAAATGCCCTGGTATGGCCGAGAGCGGGTTGGGTTCGCCCTCCCCCTCGAAATACTCTCACACGGCCACGCGTATACAGCCTCTTCCAAGCAAGTCCTACTCATTGCCTCCTCGTGGCGGGGATGTTGTTCACGAAAATGAGTGGACGTAAAGCGAATGTCCGGTGCTTTAACCGGGTCGGTGGACATGGAGAGCCCACCTAGAGGAGTTGTAAAACCCTGGTTACAAACCAATGGTGCACATGGGCTCCAGGATCCTGAGGGAGCAAATGGTATATGAATCAATCTTCGGTCACCGGCTTCCATGGGACTGCATCTCCTTACGATGCTCCACTGCCTTGTGAGTTAGCCCATTAGGTCAAAGGCTCAAGGTGTGGCCCCCAAAGATAACCACCGGCTTCGGTCTGGGCACCCAAGCAGTATCACAGCCCACTCACAAATGATGGACTGTCTAAATTTATGGAGACTAGTTTTCTTGCTTCGACTAACAATCAAATTATTATTATTATTTACTACGTCATTATTCACCCTCTTTTATTCCCACTCTGTTTATACATATTTTTTCGACTTAGACAGCAGCTCGTCTATAGTGGAAATCCGACTCTATCTAAACGTTCTCGAGTCACTGCCCGGTTGAAAATTGTATGTTACCACTGAATACGAGGACTGAAGCAGTTTTTCTGAAACCACGTGCACCATTCAAACTGGCTGCCTTCAACGTTCGCACAATTATGCAGGTCGGACAACAGATAGGGCTGGCTATGTCTTTGGAAAGTCTTAATATTATGTTTGTTGTCTATCCGAGACCCGTATTCAAGATTCTGGCGAAGTACTACAAATTCGATCTCCATCTGTCGCTTCGAAAAGCTTGTTTTACGTGCGCTTATCCGGGGACCCTGTGGCATCTTCGTCTGGTCTTGCTGGCGTTGGTGTCGCACTAAGCGCTAGAGCTGAGTCAGCACTAATTGACTGGACCCCATTAACAGTCGGTTATGTGCTGTTAGATTAGAGAGTTCCATCAAAGTGAGAAGAAATTGGCGTGAGAAACGATGTCTTTTCGTCATCTCCGCCTATGCCCCGACAGATTGCAGCCCGGATGCAATCAAGGATGAGTTTTACCACCAGTTATCAGTTCTTCTCCAGAAAGTGCGTTCGACAGGTATTGTGGTACTAGACGGAGACTTGAATGCTCAGGTCGGGCATCTAGGCACAGAAGAGAGTCGTTTAGGTTGTAGAACTATGGTCTACTATGATATTAGTACTGCTCTAATAATAGACTTAATCCTAAAATTGTAGATTTGTCATGATATAACTGCCTAATCTATAAGATCTTACGTGGAAGTCACATCATTGACTACACCAACTCACTGTATCGTATCAATTACTAATACATGATGTAGAACGACGTTAGGCTAGAGAAGGAACAATATATTTAATATGAATAGAAGATATAAGGCAACATTCAGATGGACCACGCCTGCATGGTCGAGCCATGCCATCCGATCAACTCCAATTTATTCAATTCATTGTACGCGCTTTCTCCATTGTTAGGTATTTCTCCGCGTTAAATATTGAATATCTATTTTCTGAGTAGTCTCGTGTTCACAGCTTTGTGGATTGTGTGGCTATTGTCCAATGCCACTACAAGGTGACCGATGGTGACTTGTTGGTCGCAGGACAGATGAAGGGGACTGTCTACTGCAACTGTGCACAGACCACAACCTGTTTCTGGCACAGTCATCGCCGATGTGCCACCTGGCGTCCTCCCTCTGCATCTCAAGCCTGGACTCAGATTGATCACCTCGCGATTAGCCACCACTGGAGTGGTTGTGTACAAGACTGCCGCTCCTTCTGGAGTACCTATCTGGACTCTGACCATGCCTTGGTCTGCGCCAATCTTGCCTTACTTTTCAGTGGACAACGAAGTGACCGCCATCAACGGATTGATATTAGCAAGCTGGTTGCAACTTCTGTTGCAAGTAAGTATCGAACCGAGCTAGCCTCTAGGCTAGCTACCATTCCACCGAAAAGTATAGATGAGCATTGGTTGCAATTGCATGACGCCATGAAAATGGCGGGAACAGTCAGTTGTGGGTTTGCGAAACGTCCCGCTTATAAGCACTGGGTTTCTTCTGGTTCCTTACAACTCATTGAAGCCCGTCGGTCTACTCCGGGTGACCGTGAGTTTGACCATAAACGAAGGATGTTACGTAAGGAAATTGGGCAAAGCTTGCGTAAGGACCGAGAAGCCTGGTGGTCGATGCGTGCTAATGAGCTGGAAGCAGCAGCTGCATCTGGTAACTACCGGAAGCTCTTCCACCTCATCCGAGCCACTGGCAGCAAGAAGTCTGGTGTGAGTGAAACAATCTGCGAGGATGATGGGATGCCAATCACTAACATCCATCGACGTCTTGGACGATGGGCAGAATTTTTCGAAGGGCAGTTCAACTGGCCTGCTGCTCCGGCAACATCGGTCAGACTGTCCTGCCCTCCATGGCCGGTGACGACTGATCCACCAAACGAGGAGGAAGTCCGCAAGGAACTCCAACTCTTGAAGCGTTACAAATCACCTGGCCCAGATGACTTACCTCCGGCTCTTTTTAAAGATGGTGGTGACTTTTTGACTAAGGAATTGACGACGTTGTTTACAAAGGTTTGGGAACTAGAGAGTGTACCAACGTCATGGAATGAGTCGATAGTTGTCCCTATCTTTAAAAAGGGTTCACGTCGTTCTTGTAACAACTATCGGGGGATAAGTCTACTTCCGATTGCGTCCAAGCTATTGGCTTCCGTCATACTTCGTAGGTTGTTCAAAACCCGAGAAAGATTGACTCGCGAGGAGCAGGCTGGTTTTCGTTCTGGTCGAGGATGTATTGATCATATCTTCACCCTCCGCCAAATGTTAGAACACCGCCATACTTATCAAAGGCCAACAATCGTAGTGTTTCTTGACATCAGGGCTGCCTTCGATTCGTTGGATAGGACTGTTCTCTGGGACTGTCCATTGAAGAAGGGTGTATCTGAGAAGTTTATCAACATCCTAAAGGTCCTATATATAAACACCTTAGGCAGAGTGGGGACATACAACCATCCTTCTCCATTGTTCCATTCGAGCAGTGGGGTTAGACAGGGTTGGCCAATCTCACCATTCCTCTTCAACTTTGCCATCGATGACATTCTGGAAACAGCTCTGATGGATGTAGGTAATGGTGGTGTGGATCTGTTACCTGGGGAAAGACTTCTCGACCTTGAGTATGGGGATGATATAGTCGTACTGTGTGATAATGCCCAAGTCATGCGATCCGCACTTAATCAGTTGGCAATCAGTGTCCGTAGGTATGGTATGTGCTGTGCACCTTCGAAGTGCAAAGTACTTCTACAAGACTGGCAGGATTCTAATCCTGTACTCACTCTGGATGGTGAACAGATAGAAGTAGTCGAGAAGTTCGTGTATCTGGGTAGCTGTATGAGTACTGGTGGTGGCATGTAGTGAAAGCCAGAGCGGCTTATGCCAGTCTGGGCTACAATTGGCGCCTTCGTGATGTCAGTCTGGCTGTAAAAGGCCGGTGAGAGCAGTTCTGCTCTATGCTTGTGAAACCTGGCCTCTCCGAGTTGTGGATGTTAGACGACTCTCTGTGTTTGATCATCGTTGTCTTCCAAGGATTGCAGACATCCAGTAGCAACACCATGTTAGTAATGCAGAGGTTCGGCATCGTGTGTTCGGGCACAGAGATGATAATGTGATCGGTGCCACCATCTTGAAACACCGACTTCGGTGGCTTGGACATGTTCCACGAATGTCGTCCGAGAGAATTCCAGGTAGTTTATCTACTTAACTTACGAATATATGTATGTAGTTATCAGTTCCTTCCACTTTTTTCTTTTTTGTAGAAGAAGTTTGTTGTAATACCTTGTGCAGAGTATTCCACATTGTGCAAGTAAACGATATTGAATAAAACCATTAATAATAATAATAATAATAATAATAATAATAATAATAATAATAGCTCCGTACTTGTCGAGACCTTACCACCGGAGACGGAAATCCGTGAGATAAAGCTATGTATGCATTTTTAAGATAGACCTTTTCTAACCCACTCTTCTTTTGTGAGAGGGCGACATCTCTGTTATGCTGGTTTTCTGAGTAAAACATCTTACTGCAGTCACATCTCTGTACAGTCAGCAATCTGACTTCGCCCTCAACAAAATTTTGAGACTTATTTTTATTATGTGCTGACATAGTTCGGTTCATATCCGTGTCAAGTAGAAACAGGTACCTACTTCAGTACAATGGAAGATGGTCGTGCAACTTCATGGATTGATTGAGGTTAGACATTAACACTGTTAAATGCCGGCCAGCTCAGTGGTCCAGTGATCAATCGTTCGCGCGCGAGACTGAAGACCCTGGGTCCGAATCCTGTGAACGAGATCGTGGATGCGCACTACTGAGGAGTCTCACAATAGGACGAAACGTTCGTGCAGTACTTCCAGGTTCTCAATGGTGGTCTAACACCAATCAGTTCATGATCTCAATCAAAACTTAATAACCTACACAGCCCTATGTAGTGAAGAAGAACACGGGTGAGGACAGCCAAATTGTATTTAGGACAAATTACAGAATTACTTGGTAAAATAGAAAAACCATATAGTAAATCGTTAATTTGCAAAATATCATTCTATCATATCAAACCGGGCTGTTGCTTTGCAAACATCAATCCATTGTCTCGCATTTCATTGCTCATGCGATTTCTTACAAATTCCATTGTTTTCTCGCTCTTCTTTTCTTGATCTTCTCCATCTTCTGCTGCCAGACATTACGTTCTTTTGACTCACGTTATATACTACTTATATCAATATAAGTAGCACGCACCACACTCGTCCCCCCTTTTAACAAGTTGCTGTCGTAGTCTTTCTGATCTCCGTACCGCTGTGTTCTTTGGTGCTTTTCGTGATTCACACCCATGATGATCTTGAAACCATCTCTGTAGTTGACTAGCATTTACGCGCTTCTGCTTGTCTTCTCTCCGGATCGTGTAGACCGAGCCGCGTCTCTCCGTGATAACATACGGTCCTTCCCATTTTGGGGCCAGCTTCCCCGACCCTGCTCCCCCTGCTATGTTACTTTTTCGTTCTCTACACTTTACTAGGTCCCCCACTGCAAAGGGTTTCCACGTTCTCCTCTGTTGTTCTGCCTTCTTTGTGTCTGATATTTGTTTCTTTTCCACGTTCCTTATTGCCTCTCTCCTCTCTTTTCTTAACCTTGTTGTCGTCCACTTCTGTTGTTGTGGCCAGGTCTTATTATGCATTGGAAGTCGTGGTTGTCTGCCATACATGAGCAAGAAAGGTGACTTCTTGGTTGTTCCTTGTGTGGAGGAACGATGTGCCAGCAAAATCAATGGTAACTCTTTCTCCCAATTTCCTCCTTTTGATGCTAACCATTCCTTTAACGTCCGATTGTTTCTCTCTGTAAGCCCGTTTGTCTGAGGATGATACGGTGTAGTTCGTATTCTCTTGATGCCAAACTGCTTTAAACGGGCTTTAAACTCGTCACTTTCAAAACAGGGACCCTGGTCAGTTAATATCATCTTCGGTATTCCGTGACACGCTACAATATGCCGGATTACCACCTCGGTCACTGTCCTTGCCCGCTGGTCTGCAATGGGTACGGCATCTACCCAACGTGTAGCATGTTCCGTCATCACTAACAGGTACTGGTTACCGCTCGCCGTCTGTGGAAACGGTCCCATCACATCCACCGACCATAGATCACCGACTGCGGTTACTGGGATTGACTGTAATGGCGGTTGTGTGTATCGATCGCTTTTCATTAGCTGACACTGCTGGCAGGTTAACACGTATTCAGCCACATCTTCTCTCATGCTCGGCCAGTATGCACTTTGTCGTAGTAAGTCCGTCGTTCTTGCGATGCCTGTATGTGCTACCTGGTGACACTCGTGTATCACTTTGCGCCGCCAGTCTTTCGGGATCACCGCCACCCAATTTTCATCATCGTCCTGCCAGGTCAGCACTCCATATGAGTTCACTCTCAGTCGGTCCTTTTGCCGAAGCAGCGTTATTACCTCCTTGTCCATTGTTCGTTTATCTACGTCTGCTCCCTCTTTTATCACTCTGATTACCTCTCGAAGGTTAGGGTCAGCTTTCTGCTGCCGGACGAGTTCTAATGGGTCTCCCTCTAAACTATTCACCGCGTATGCTGTTAATGGCAGGTCGGCTTCCATGTCTGGTCTTGACAAGTAATCTGCCATTACGTTTTCTTTTCCTGGAACATGGCCGATACTGAAATCGTATTCTTGCAGGCGTATCATCCATCGCGCCAACTTCCCTCGGGGGTCTCTTGCTGTTTTCAACCACTGCAGGGGTTTATGGTCGGTCTCAATGTGAAATCGTCTACCTAAAAGGTATGGTCTCCATTTTTCCACTGCCCACACGATCGCTAAACACTCCTTTTCGATGGTTGAATACTTCTGTTCAGCAGGTGTGAGGACGCGACTCGCGTATTCCACCACTCTATCAGCCTGACTCAACACAGCACCTATACCATGATCACTCGCGTCTGTGGCCACTGTAAACAGTCTTCCCGGTTCAGGCAGTCTGAGCGTCATCTGGCGATCGTCTAGCATGTTTTTGATTCGGTTGAACGTTTGTTCGGCAGTCTCAGTCCACGTAAACTTGGTGCTGCTTAATAACTTATATAAGGGTGCTGCTATTTCGTTGAAATTCTTGATAAACCGACTGTAGAACGCCGCTCTTCCCAGGAACTGTCTCAACTTCCTTTTCGAATTAGGTACTGCAATATTTTTTATGGTAAGAATTTTCTCCGGCAATGGTTTTATTTCTCCATTTCCCACTTTATGTCCCAACAATGTGACGCTACTTCTCGCTATCTGCGACTTGTCCTTATTAATCCGAAGTCCAAATTCGTCAATTCGCTTTAAGACCGCTTCCACATGCTTGATGTGATCTGTTTCTGTTTGACTGTACACAACTACATCGTCGCCATATACCTCGACATTATCTAGATTCTTGAGCAGTAGTGTCATTAATCTTCTGAACGTGAACGGTGCACCCGCCAACCCGAACGGCATTCGTTTAAATTGATACTGTTTATCACGTACAGTAAACGCTGTCTTGCTTCGATCACTCTGTTTTATAGGCAGTTGCCAATAACCTGACCGTAAATCCAGCACTGTAAACACCGTGGCATTCTGTAGCCGATCTAATGTTTCCACCACTGTTGGCATTGCACAAGGCTTCAGGTCTGTTATATTATTCAATTCTCTGAAGTCGACACAAAATCTATACTTTCCATTTGGTTTCTTTACCAAGAGTACCGGCGAGCTATATGGACTGTCCGCTTCCTCAATTATACCTTCTTTTAACATTTCCTGAACCTGACGATTTACCTCAAACTCCTTCAGGAAGCTCAGCACATCTCCGTCCTCAAACTCCTTCGGCCATGTAATCGAGAAGCAATATGCTGAGATTCTGGAATTTTCTTCAAACGATAATTCTATGGAATTTCTTCGGCTCTTTCATAGCTTCTTAGAGCTTCCATGAGTTTACCGGGAGCCATTCTCACAATTAACAGCTATGGTAAATGTGATGTTTGGAATGTGGTAGTGTAGAGTTAAGGACAATTATGTGCATGTTAGTAATTTGAAATGTGAACAGTATTATGTGTGTAGATAGTTGAATAAATGATCTATGTTGAATGGATTATTTTGATTTTGATTATAACAACACTATTCTCTTTTGTTTCCTACTAATTAGGATTTTAGTAATATGTCATTAGTTCCATCATTAACAACTTACTCAATGCTTTAATTTATTTGAAATTATTAAGTCAACCTTCCAATGAATGTACTTGTATTGAATAAAACTTAGTTACTATGTTAATGTGCACATGTTCTACAAATGTCGTTCCAGAGAATTCCACGTCGTGCATTATTTATCGATGCTGGGAGTGGTTGGAAGAGGCAGAGAGGTGGTCAGTATATGAGATGGTGTCGTGGTATGAAAGAAAGCTGCACAGGGCTGGCTTGTGTTGATCCTTCACGACTCTCTGGTTGGGGTCCTAGCGATAGTGAGACACAGTGGCTAGAGATATTATCACATATGGCTCAGAAGAGAAGCCAGTAGAGATCCTGCTGTAACCTTCTTTTACTTTCTTCGTAAAAAGCGGTTGTATCTTCCTTAACTGAAAGATTTCTTCTGATTGCACCTTTTCGTTTCCTCCATTATTATTATTACACTACCTTAGACTAATCTGTACGTTATTGTTTTTTTACGCTCCTCACCTTTTTTTCCTTCTTCTCCTCAAATTCTCATTGTTTTGTGTGGCGCATATATATTTGGTGCCCTCTTGTACCAATATTTATGTGTTCAAATAAATATAAATAAATTGTTTAAAAAAATTTCGACACTGATTTTCTTTTCCGTTTTCGTACTCATATGGCATAACAGATTGATTATCGCTCGCAAATGCACTACAGCACACATATACTTCTCATTCTCACTTATCAACCATCATGATAATAGAACTCTAAAATATTTGATGGAGATGTTTACTTAACACATTGATATGTTCATTACGTGATCACTTTGGATACAAATTTGGATTTTATCGATCATATCGGTAATCAGAGAGGAATTGTTGGATATTATAATAATTTAATAATTGAATTCATGAGGTGAATGAAGCTAGATCACCATGGAAAACCTAGAAGCACTGGACGACCGTTTCGTCCTAGCATGGGACTCCCCAAAAGTGCGCATCCACGATCCCGCCCCATGGGATTTGAATCTAGGAATTAGTAAGAGGACAAGTGACAGGGTAAAAACAAGGCTTGAGAAAAATGAATAGATTGGTATGTTGAAAAGTTAGAATGACCTATTTGAGCTTGACGTAGTACCAGCCCCCAAACGGGTCGCATAGATTAAGCAGTCACATCATGGCGAATTAACTACCGTATGCTAGATCTATTAGCTTCCAACACCTCACACTTAAGTTTGTTTGCTTGATTTTTTTCAAGCCATTCAACCGACTTATTTGACAGACTGTGTCATTCAAACAATAACAATTTGTAAATCTTGGTCTCATTATTATTATAATGACCATATGAACATGTATGCTTGATCACATATTACGGCCCAAGCATAGATCTCTCACTAGCTTAAGTGTTATTTGTTCAAATCACTCGATGAATCATTAACTTTCACATATATATATACTTGAATCTTATAAATTCTCTCGACTCTTCTTTCGATTCTTCATTCAACTCTTAGTTCACCTCTGTATTCTCTCTCTCAGATACACTTGCATTCTTATTTCTGCCAGAATTCGCTTAGAGTTTTTGTGACTTAGTGATCTGTACTTTTCAATAATAAACTTTTATCGGTGCTTTACGTTGTCTTCTGGAAGTTATACATCGTTGGGTGCTAGCTAATAACAGTCATCAAGACGAGTGGCACATGATGCCTTGAAATTATCGCGAAGATAATCCACTACGACATATATATCAAACTATAGATTACTGAATACCTTTTCTGTTAATTATAATGCAATTAGTTATGATTTAAAACTTGACTAGATTATTAAAATGTTATCAAAAATAAATTTGATGTTAGACTTTCCTTATATTGTATAATAGATGGGGAAAACCTATCTACATTACCAGTGAGATGTAGATGTTATAGCGACTCACGTGCAAATGAGTTTAGTCTCATCTAACGCAGTTAAGCCCTTTTGCTAACTTATTTAGCGGACAAAGTCATCTGCACTATAACAACTTATTGTACCCTTATTATTTTGTGCTTGTATGAAATACGTATGCTTGAATATTGCTTACGGCCTACGTATTTATTCACTCTGCTAATCTTACTACTAACTGATTATTTGATTCGATTACTCATTCATTTCACATGGTATATATATGTCCATGTTATTCATATTCAACACGCTCACTCATTCACTCACACACTCTCGTCTCGCTCTTGCTATGGCTCCTGTCGCTTGCTTGCCTTTTGGCACAACTCTTCTATGCTTGTTTAACGCATCTGTACATTTGGATATATGTTTGTGGTCTCGCAATAAACGTAATAAACACTTCGTATTTGCCTTCTGATTATTTTACCGTTGGGACGTTATATAGAACGGTTATCAAGACGAACTGTATACGAAGTTAAGGAATATATCAAATACCGACCACCACAATGTCGAAGAAGTTTCGGGAACAAGGACATACAGGGAAGTGCTTCTCAATATACTATACACGGGATCTGCAGT